AAGTGTGTTCGGCCGGTGCTTGACACGTCGAGAGAGACCGGTTGCACAATCATGACCGATGGTTGGACCAACATCCGTGGTCAGACGTTGTGCAACTACCTTGTTGGTACAGAGATCGGGGTGGTGTATGTGTCCACCGACGTCATGCGTGGCAGAAAGGACGCCAGTGCCCTCGCGAACGCATGGTTGAAAAGGGTGAAGTCCATGGACGTTCAATTGAGCGACATCACGGCGTTCGTGACGGACTCCGCCGGGGTGAACGTCGCGGGGATGGAGGTATTCCAAAAAGATGAGAGCGTGAAACACATCTTCTGGATTCCTTGCATCGCCCACATCATGGATCTCCTTCTCGAGGACATCGGCGGGATTGATTGGGTGGCTTCCCGCATTTCTCAAGCGAGGCTGGTTACAAGGTTCTTCAAGCGCCATGGACATGCGAGAGAGGTTCTTGAGGCGCACTCGACGAAGACTCTTCTGCGACCGGCGGAGACGCGTTTCAGCACGAACGTCATCATGATGGAGAGGCTGGTGGCACTGCGGGCCGCGTTGACAGATGTTGTGGCCGACGATCGCTGGCGCGAGACTGTTTGGTCGACCAGCAAGATCCGCAAGGATGCAGCGGAGGTCACTGCATGTATCGGCTCCCCTCCATGGTGGGAGGATTTGAGAGCTCTGTGCAAGATGCTAGAGCCCATCATGGGCATGCTGAAGTTGGTGGACAGCGACACACGCCAGATCAGCAAGATTCTGCGACGTTACAAGAAAATGATTGCATCTTGTTTATCTGCATGTCGTGACATTGATCGGGAGCAGCAGGACGCTATTGTGGAGGTGTTCCCTAGGCGGCCCCCGCCCACACGGCAGCCATGCTGCTAGATCCAGAGTTCCGGGATGCGACGCTTTGTGACGATGCGGAGGTGCAGCAGGCCTTGGTCGAGGCCCTTGTCCAGTTCGGCTACCCGGCGTATTCGCCGCAGCACCCGGAGGTCCAACGAGCGGTCGCCAAGCTCCACACGAGGGAGCCCCCTTTCGATGAGCTCACCATGCGGCGAGCTGCGGATATCTTTGATCACCCTGCCAGTTTTTGGTCCTCAAAGAAGGCGAAGTTCCCTCACACGGCCGTGTTTGCAGGCAGGATCCTTCGTAATTGGGCGACCGCCTCACCGTGCGAGAGAGCGTGGTCTCGTTGGAGCTTCATTCATTCGAAGTCTCGCAACAGGTTGGAGGTTCTCCGGGCTGAGAAGCTTGTGCGGTGCCACTGGAACCTCAGGCTACTCGATCGACCTTCGCTGTGCGACGATGGTGTTGGAGAGAGGCCCGGCGTCTTCGGGAAATGTGTGCATTATTGGCAGGCCGTGGAGGACGAGGCAGCCGTGGACCAGCAGCCCGTCAGAGGCACCGGTGTTCTGGCGAAGGTGACCGAGGAGGAGTTGAGCCTCGCCAGAGAGAGGATGCGCGCCATTTCCCGCATGGGAGCCGAGCGTCGGGTGGCGGAGTCGGACAGGAGGCGACGCAGGGCTGGTGGTCGGGGACGTGGCGGCCGTGGACGAGCAGGTGT